CCACCACCACCACCACCACCACCACCAAAAAAAAAAAAAATGACTGGGCGCACCAGTGCGACAGGAAATTTTTTTTCAAATAAGTCGCAATCTAGAGCCCTGAATTGTGTCAGAAAATGGGTAAGAACTTGATCTCACTTACTTTCAAGCACAAAGACTTTTTGATGAAAGTTGTGGTCACGGCGGTGCAGCGAAGTCTGACATCACGCCGTTGACATATGATTGGCTCTAAATTCACATACTTGATCCAAAATGAAACTAATTTTGCGTGCGTCATAAGGGAGACCTGCTCAACATGTTTGTGTAGTCGTTTGACACGATCACTTTAGCCCCCCATCTGTCCGTTCACCTGTTCACCTTATGAGATTATTTAAATAATAAAGGCTGATCCCAACAAAACTGCTAACAGTTCGTCACTACTGAATGGCGACAGGGGAGCATCAGTTCTATCTTGTTTCTTTAGCTACAGTAATGCATTTAGCATTGATGCAGGTGTTCAAATTTATATTAAAAACAAAAACAGAGCATGTGCTAAGAGGAAATTCACAGCTCTTGATTTTTATGTAAAATTTCTACTGAAACTTTTTTTTAGCTTTGCTTGACATAAAAATGTGTTTAAATGATATAAAAAATCAAGGCCAGCGTTTTTCTTTTGAAGATGCTACTGGCTAAGTAGACTTTTCTCCTCTTAGCAATCACAAGTAAGACTAAAATCAACAGTGATGTGCTTGGCATACATACTGAGGAGAAACTACACAGAAGGAAGTTTCAGCTGTCAGCATGTTACTTCAGCTTTAAAAGTCAAAAACAAGATTATTTTAAAAGTAGCTGTTATGAATTTGTTCTTATTTAGTTTATTGGTATTGCTCATTCATCTGTATTAAAAGAGGCTCTTCCACGGCTGATTTAATCTGTAATAATGTTTTCTACATGCAGCAACGCTCCACTGTGGCCTCCATGATGCACCGACAAGAGACCGTCGAATGTCTGCGCAAGTTCAACGCCAGGAGGAAACTTAAAGTCAGTGTTGGCATGGTTAAAGATGCTTAAACAAGAGAAAAATAAATATGCACACAATGTTTTTGTCTCGTCTGTAGGGCGCTATCCTCACAACGATGCTGGTGTCCAGAAACTTCTCAGGTGAGCTTCAGCACTGACGTTATCATGGGATGTTCTGCTACTGTTTGTCCATTCTGCCATCTGCCTCTTTTTAACAACACAATTTCCACTTCACACTTTAAGAGTTTGGCTTGGATTTCATCATCGTAAGCAGTTCGAGCGCTAAAAGCACAGAGTACTTGCGATTGAACATCCAATTTACGGGCTGGATGATGGCCTAGCAAGCTGATGCGTTAATGCTATTGGCTCTGTGTTTACATGCTTCTGTGTAAGCAAAGCAGCTCCAGTGGATTACTGTCAACCACTTTGTACGAGTCGAGACTGATGTAGATTGGAGAAAACAGACTGGCCACGCCTCTTGAGTTTGTTTCCACATTATTCAAGGCTTTTCTGTAAAGTGAATGGCCATGAAGTGAATGTAATGTAATTTGTTAGCTGGGTTTTTAGTGCAGATGTCGCTCATCCTGGTGCTTCGCTTTGCTTAAAATGTTCAAATTCAATAACTGGTGAGTGGCTCTTTAGGATGCAGCATGTTTGACTGACAGAAATGAGAAGGATGCTAGACTTTAGTTAGGCCAAACTGAATCCCTCTTTGTCCAATAGTGGGACGGCAGCACACCAGCCCTGCCGCTACCACCAGCACGGCCGCAATGGCACAGGAAGGTACGTTTGCTAGGAGTGCTGGAGTCGGACACTTCTAACTTCAGGCTGTTGGCATGAGGCCTGTGCTGCCTGATCCCTCCACCTCCCCACCTGCTGCCTGCTGCTGCCTGCACGCTGATGGGCCACGTTTTTTAAAAAAAAATGGGCATCACACATCCAATCACACACAAACCTATAAATGGAAACCGCAGATGAAGCTCAGCTTTTGACCTTTCGGCTCCGCTGCACCTCTTGAGGCTCTAATGAGCACACCTCCCCTCCAGGTCTGGCTTTTTGATTTTCCTCTGCAGAATACAGCAGTCGTTTAACTGATGCCCAGCATGACCCTCTGACCTCCTACCAACTGCCGCAGCTCGCTCATGTCAAAGCTGTTTGCACATCTCTGCATTAACTCAACCCCTGCTGGTTGTTTTATTTATTATTATTCAGTAATTCAACTTTTAAAACCTTTTTGTATTAAAACTAAGCATCGATGCTCTGCAACACCTCCAGTTTCATCTGCTTTGGGAACTGATGCCCAGTCGACGCCTGCCTGAGCTCGCTGCAACCTTCCCTTCTGCATGGCTCCGGCACAAACAGCCAGCTGAGCATGTTTTTATAAACGTAGAGCGCAGTTTAGTATCCTGCATGGGAAAACTGAACAAACAAAAGTGTCTTGTGTTAGTTATTTGCTTTTTTTTCACCCCTCGTCCCTCCTGCCTGCTTTGTTGTCTTTGTCTGAGCAGATAACAACACCAAAAGCCTCAAAGCAACAGTGTGCTTCAAACAGTGTGCTCGTACGATCATCAAAACAGCATCTAAAACTCCACACAATGAGTTTTCAGATGCTCTGAATCTGAAATAATAAAAGAATAAAAGTAATGTGAATGTACTTGTGGCCTTTGTTGTGGTCAGCATCCTGCAAAAAATTGCTCTGTAGTGGCGACTCCAATGTCAAACTGACTGAATTTATTTGTTTGAGCTCTTCACAGCTGAGTGTCGGTCACTTTAGCAGGAGAGCTTCTCAGCCAAAGGCTGTACAGAAAACACGTTTTTATTTACACAGAAACATGCTTGGCTTGTCCCTCTATTATTCCGTGTTAAAACTCTTTGCTCACTAAAAAGAGAAGAAGTTGGTTGAATCTGCTGCAGAGTTCTTGTCAAGATCATAATTTTCTAACTGAAGAGACGTTTAGGATGAAGATGAAGTAGACTCTGCATGACTGACTTGTTAGGCTGCAGGCACGGCATGAGGCTCCCATATGAGCAGAAAGGATTTCAGGATCATCTTGAACGTGTAAAAGCCTGAATGCTCTTTCCTGTAGTTTTCAGTTAAGATACAGACATTAAACGCATCCCTGTTTTCTTCCTCATTGCCCTTCTTCCTTGTTTATAAATGGAAGGTAAGGGTGGATCACTGCATCATGAACATTATTATTCACAGCCTTTTTATTTTATTTAGTATATTTATAATTTCTTTAGTGTCCTGTTGTACATGTTTTATTTTTGTTACATTTATCTTTTAAAATGAACTAGACTATAAATGGTTGTTGAAGCACAAATATTTTATCTTAAAGTTTATTGATTGAGCATTAGGGTTGGGCATAATCGTATGGTGTGTGATTAATCATCAGAAAAACATTAATCGATTTATTTTTGGCACTTGACAATTAATACGATTAATGCCAACAGGTAGAATCCGCTCACTGCTCCTCTCAGCTTCAAATATGACAACATTAAAAAAAGTTCTGTAACTTTTTTATCTATCAACACAATTTAAAATTTGATGTATAGCCTGAAGTCTGTAATTTTGACACATTTTGGAACAGATTATGAAGAGCAAATCTTTCCCACTAAATTGGTCATGTGACTAGGACATAAGAGTGTCCATGGACTCCAGGGGATGAATCGTCAAATTAATCGTTATCAGCTAAATACCACAATTAATCATGATTTATTTTTTTGCCAATATTGCCCAACCCTATTGAGCATATTCCAGACTTTAGCTCATAAAAATTATTTGAAGATGTAGTAACTTGTATTTTAATTAAGGGTTTATATCACTGGTGAACTGTCTGCAGATTTAAAACAAACATGAATTATGCCTTCCTGTTTCTGTTTAGATTCATCAGCTTCACAACAGGATGTCTAACTTTTAGAAATCATAACATTTTTGATGATGAATTAATATTACAGATGGCAGTTACACATACGAATTAACAGTATCATTTCCATTTTCTCAGTTACAACAATTTTCACTGCCTTTTAT